GAATATCAGACCCCTCTTGTCCAGAGTCGTAGCTAACGCTCCGTCTATAGAAGTCTATGGTTTACGTTCCAAAGTATTTTCTCTGGGGAAAATTTTACTTAAGAAATAGATCGAAAACGCTCAAAATGGTGTCGGAATGCCTATCGAGTAAAATATTCCTCGGAGAAGAAGATTTTGGATCGTAACTTTGAATCTAAATGCACGTTCCTAAACTCATTAAAAAAGTGTCGCAACCATTCTGTCCATCACTGTACATACATCAGTAAAAAACATATATATATATTTATATATCAAGTACAATTACTGTATGAGCTCGAATTATCTAAATTTAATGAATTTAAGTGAAAATGTCTATTGATTTAAAATTCTGAAATACGAAATAATAACAATAGTTATCGTTATCTCGTATAAATGTGATTATCAATAACAATAGTTCATGATAATTACGTTTCTTACGGATTGTTTAAAAATTAATTAAAATCGGCAGTATTTTGTGATTAATATAATAGAAAAGTATTTTTTACTACAATGGCCAGAAATTCTTTAAAAATCCTTAAAAATTTTCAGTTTATTTCTCCCATATTTTTTATTTTTTCGCATTTTTAATAATTTTAAACAATAAAAAAAATACTTTAAGTTTTGAAATACTTTTAGATTAATCTTTTTCTTGCAGTTTATAGCTTGGTTGTTTTAAATAAAACAAACATTTTAATATATTTTTCAAACAAAGTTATAAATTTGTTAAGTATATGTTATATGTATGTATGTACTATAAGAACACAGTCTTATTTTCCAACATTCAATTATAATTATTTCGATATAACGGACTAAAATCAGATATCGCGGGAGATTTGGTGGTCCAATGACGTGCCACTTGATAATCCTAGCAATATGGTGCACAGAGACTGCGCTATGCCTCGGGATGCTGTATGATCAATACATTACGCTCTGGACCAAAGAATGGAATCATCAAACTACGTGTCATCTAGAAACATCATGAAAACTAAAACACATACCTGCGTGCCAGGTACCGCCGGTAAGTTCAGGATATTTTTCTATTTTCACATCGACTGTTTAAACATTCGAGAGATTATAACCTTTGAGTATACAATACTTCGCATAAAAATACAGTATAATCGGAGATGTATATTACCAATACACACTATAATAATTCAGAGAAGTGCGTTATTTATGGATACAATTATTAAATACTAACAAAAATCCTTATAGATGAATAGCACGCTTTAGTTGATAGAATTATTTTTTTATTATTTTATCTAAGAAGTGAGTTTGCTGCAATTTTATCAATTTAAGAAAGAATTATTATTAGAGGAATTTATTCATACAGAAATGAAGCGTTAAATAAGAGTTTTCAGAGCTGCTTCTGAGATTTTCCAAGAATTAATTTTTAAAATAAATTTTACAGAGAGAACCACACTGGCTTGAATAACTTTTATTTTTAGTGATAGAAAGAAATGCTTAAAAAACGAAATAATTAATAATTATAAGATAAATTACTTTCTCTCACAACTAATTTTGAATGTTCTTAAAGAAGCAAGAGAAATAGGTCACATTCTACTAAAGTTAGTGACTTTAAAATGTGTCCTTGTCTCTTTGACTTATAATAAAAATTATATCATTTTTATCATCTTTCAGATGTTTTTCTTGAAATCAAGCAATGTTCTTAGAGGCTACCTACAAATGAAAAAGTTATTCAGATGGTCTGTTTTAGATGTTTTTGTATATATTCTGTATAATTATATTCAGGACATCTAAAACAAAGCATTGAAATATCTCAAAAACTAAGCTCAGCGTCAATTTTTTAAGATCATATGAAAGATATCATTTTTTATATAAAAATGTATAATATTTTTGCATGGTATGAAATACATATGATTCTTCATTATTCTATAACGTATAAAGTATTTGAGTTATTAAAGAACCAATAATTAATTAACGTGATATTTTATACTGTATTATGGCACATTATACCAGTAAATTAAAATATTAAATGTCTCGTAGCTATTAATTATTCCTCGAGAACTATACCTTAATATTTTCACATACACAATAATCCGATGGATTAATTACTGTAAAGTAAATACAAAGTTGTATTAAAAAGATAATTGTATAATACAAATTGTATATGTATGTATATATTATCAGTATATATGTTAAAATATTTATTGTGTATACGTATACAATGTATACATAGGTATATGTACATATTTAAAGTATTAAGCTTATTGAAAATGTTAAAGATATTTCTTGTTTCATTTTAATTAAATGCTGAATTAAATTTTTAACTAATGCATTATATTTGGACTATTGCTTACGTAAGAATGCCTCATTGCCACGCGATACTGTAGTCACATAAATTTGCAGATTTACCTGTTGGAGAATCAATCGAGGAGATCGCCGAATCTGTAGATGAGTTACGGGAGAAACTCGCCAATATGAAGAAGCTTATGAAAGACCGAAGAGGTACAACGCTGGGGGAGATTAGTGCCCGAAAAAGAAAAGAAACTTCTAACATGATAGACGGCCATCTCCTGTCCTGGATTTTCGGATTGGCTCTTATGGGGATCGTAATCGTTAGCTTTTACGCTTTCTATAATCTTTATTACGCAGTGCTGAAGAGATTCCCATCTCATCATACGGAATTATAAAAAGAGTGTGCGAGAACAAAAAAAACAAAGCTCAAAATTTATGTAAAGTTTAAATTATATTATAAAATTGGCCTTTCTTAATTTTTTTGTCAGTTAATATCTCAACAAAAATAATTCCAACGAATTAAACATTCTGTTTCCTACAAACTCTTTGACGGACGTGTGTTCGATCTTTCTCAATAAAAATGTCATAAAGAAACTTGTAATTTTCAGATAATTAGCGATTAAAAATAAAAATTTCTGACAAATTAAATTTGCGAAAAGGAGAAATAGACAATGTCATATTTTTATTCATATTTTGCTTAATTTCGTATTTATTTAATAAAATTATAATCTCTGAAATATCACGATTGCGAAGGCATTGTAAAATTGTTAAAAACTAGAGATATACGAAAATCTTTAAATGTTAAAAAAAAATTAGGGCTGATTACAAAAGATATTATTCATATTCGATATAATAAAAGATTATACATTAATTAATGGTTATTCCATTTTAGAAAAATTCCTTAGACTTCATTTAAATTAATATTTTCAATGCAATATGATTTTTCAGTTAAATATATCATCAAAACAAAAGAGGATTAAAAGGCATAAATTACTACCGTAAACTTATGTGATTATGGCTACTTTTTCGGTATTTGTTTATGTGCATAGGACTCCCCGTACAAACCTTATGGAATTTGGGTCCTGGTAGATTTGGTTGTAACTTTATATAATAGAATTTGTAGCTTATAATGTATCGCTGAACAAAAGTTCTCATTGCACCAACTCAATTGATTGAGTTGTTTGAGCGCTAGAGATCATCAAATAATTAGTGTATTGTGATGTCCGAAAACGGTCAAATACCTTGAAAATAATTATGTATTTTAGAAGAAATCTTGCAAACAAAAGTTGGTAGGTTTACGAATTACTAATGTGCTCAGATATTTGGCCCGAGGCCTAATATGAGGCCTATGAGACCCAATCGACTTTATCACACGAAAACCTGTATTTTTATTCTAGATCCTTGTTTAAGGCAATTTTTTATCCGTATATGTACTTTCTATGTTAAGTCAAATGCAATTTCAATGTTCAATTTCTTCTGACTAAAATAACAGTCTTAATATGTTACTTTGTAAGTTTACCGCCGACATTAGCGTAATTTGCACATTATGTGCTGAAAAAGACTGTGTTTTGCGCGCGCGCGC